TTGTAGTGTCTGTTCTTTTACTGAACTAAATTATTTTTATTTCTATAAAAAATGAAAACTACGGTATCGCGGCAAGCCTAATGTAGAGATGCAACGATTGCAATTTTCTTGGCCAATACCGATTTTTTTGCCGATTTCCGATTTTCTTTCTAAGAACTATAATTGGCAGCATATACAAACAACTATCTACTTTTCTTCAACGCAAAGTTTTATTTTCATTAAAAAAACAAGTAAAACATCAGTAATAAGAACAAATAAAAAAAATTGCAAACAACAGCACAAATAAATGCAATAGAATAAAGTCTATATAAAACATAGAACTTTTATTAACTAAAAAATACACCATGCTATAGTGCAGGCAATGCCTAATATAAAATAACAAATAACTTACATAAAGTTTAAATAGGTATACAAAACTGGAAATAGGCTAAGTAAACATGTATAATATATAACCAAATAAATAAGAAACATAGAATATTTATTAGCAAAACGAGTAAGAAAGCTTGGAGGCACGGCATACACCTTGATGTCAAATAAAAGAAATAAATGAAACAAAGTTTAAATAAAGTACAAATCAGCAAACAATGTGGAACCAATTAAATAAGAAACAAATGTTTAAAAAAACTTCCAAAATCACCTTAGATAAACGGCAAAAGTCAACAGGCTTTTCAAAATCCAAAATATTGCCAAACAGGCGCTTTTGCATCTAGTTTCGAAACTAAATCATCCGCCATCGTCTTGTCTGTCTCACCTCACTCTTCTTGTCAGTCAGCTGGACTTCGGCACGCTGCATTGAGCAGCCACGTTCAGTTTTTAATTGTAGTGTCTGTTCTTTTACTGAACTAAATTATTTTTATTTCTATAAAAAATGAAAACTACGGTATCGCGGCAAGCCTAATGTAGAGATGCAACGATTGCAATTTTCTTGGCCAATACCGATTTTTTTGCCGATTTCCGATTTTCTTTCTAAGAACTATAATTGGCAGCATATACAAACAAAAATCTTTTTTTTTTTTCAATGCAAGATTATTTTTTTTTATTATTATAAAAAAAAAATGTTAATATCGCAACTTCCTCCAAACCGCACTGTTACAGGATGTTCACTTAAACAACTCTCAAAATAAATTGCTCTGTGTCTGGAAAGAACTAGAAATAACTCAAATGAGTTGCTGTAAATAACAAAACAGATGTAATTTCCCACTGTTTATAAATGGGCAATTTTTTTCTAACCTTGTTAAATGTATGTGTCATCTTTCATGTCAAATTCTTACATTTTATCAGTTAATTCAGTTAAAATAATAAGACACTGTAGAGTTTGTTACTATTCAAATGAAATCAGTATCAACAAACTCCATCTTTCCACTGCAGAGGAAACACAGAAGCTGTAGATTAATACATTTGATGTATTTACACAGACTGTTTAATGAAGCTGAGAGTAACAAAACACTGCTGTGTTGCTCGGAGAAACAACAGTTATGGTGTGTTATATATATATATTTGTATTTTTTTTTTTCTACTGCAGTATGCTTCTATAACTTTCTGTGAGTTACTTTTTAAGTCACCCAGCGCGAGTCTCAGGCGATTGACAGCGCGAAGTTGATGTATTTCCTCAGCGACCAGCACGGATCAGCTCTAGGCATGACGAAGCGGATATCGTCCTCCTTTGGAAGGCCAACCAAAGTAGTTTAGCTTTCACAACGACACACACAGCGCCATCACGACATGGCGGTGGCGGCAACAACAATACTACAGCGAGAATAAAAGTTACACCTTCTTTCTTTGCGTGAACATTTGGGCGGCGTTATGCAAATCTTCCCACATCGTGACGTAGATGTGTGGGCGTGTTAGAACGAGCGGTTTTAGGTAGGCGTGGTTGACTCTTAACTTTTATAAAGAATATCTCTTTGGATTTGAGACTTTAGTCTTTGCAACTTTACAGATCTTCTTTATGCACCAAGAGTTTGTAACACTCCAAAGAGAACGGAAAAATTGAAATCGCATCGTATGACCCCTTTAAAGCCACAGTGACAAGCTAAAGAAACAATTTTTACAAATTTTTTTCTGACAGAGTATGTGTCACAGTAGGGAAGAAGAGACTATAGCAACTTCTGTTTCATGCTGACTTTAAGAAGCTGTTGACAGCATTCAGTGTGTTCTCTGCAGTATTCAATAGGAAGTTTAAGCTATGTTCCATTTAGAACACAGCCAGTGCCAACTGTGCCTATTCACATATTGTTAGGTAGTATACGTGTTTTAGTTTGTATGCATGCTTGTATTTCAACATGAATCAAAACGTTAATGAAAGCTTATGTTCACAATGGAATGTTAGTTTACTGCGTACTGTGCTGTGTATACTGTTTTACAAAATAAAATTGTAAAAGTTAAATGCATCAATATGGTTCAGTTATTGTCTGCATTTGTATTATTTGCATTTTTAATCCCAATTTTGTATTCATCAAATGCTGGAAACAGAAGGTCATGTTGAGCACATTTCATTGTAGGATACTGTTTTCATACCATTCTTAAAGTTACAAGTGCACATCTCGGTCTGTCTGTTCAGAGTCAGGTATGGCGCTGTGGATTCAGGCACAGCAGCTGCAGGGGGACGCCCTGCATCAGATGCAATCGCTCTATGGGCAGCACTTCCCCATCGAGGTGCGCCACTACCTGTCGCAGTGGCTGGAGGCTCAGCTGTGGTGAGCTTTTTTGCTCCACTAGCAGCTCAGATCTGCGTATGTAATAAAATCTGTTTACTTTCATAGCAGGGCATGAAATGGACTGAAGAGTATTTGTGCCATGTGCAGGGATGCCATCGACCTGGAGAACCAGCAGGACGAGTTTAAAGCAAAGCGTCTGCTGGATGGTCTGATCCAGGAGCTGCAGAGGAAGGCAGAGCATCAGATGGGTGAAGATGGTTTCCTGCTGAAGATCAAACTGGGTCATTATGCCACACAGCTGAAGGTACAAGAACCAGATGCAGTTAGTTATGAGAGATCGAGTCTCTGTATTTCTCTATTTTGATAACTGACAAGCGCTGCCACTTTTGTTTCGCATGAGAACATTTTTAAAACGCACCAAAAGCAGAACAGCACTACTTGTTGGAACCGTGCCGCACAAACCATTATTAACTCAGAAAAAAAATCAGAAATAAAAACACTTTTATTTGTTAAAAAATAAAATAATGGTTCACATATTATACACAGACTAAAGTGACACATCATTCAAGGTCTGTTGCATGTTTCATCGCAAAAGATTTGTACCTCTGTTGAATTGAATTCATACCAATGATGATTTTTAGAGCTCCTATGACCCTTGCCCTCTGGAGCTTGTGCGGTGTGTCAAACACATCCTGTACACGGAGCAAAGACTTGTACAGGAAGCATCCAACGTAAGTCACACATGCAGCTTCTTTGGTTGTTGATTTACACTGAGGATGTCATAATTGGATAGTGAGCAATTGATATCTTGTTTGTTTGTCGCAATCAGGCAAGCAGTCCGGGGTCAGGTCCGGTAGATGGGACCCCTCAGAGATATCAGCAGATCAACCAGACGTTTGAGGAGCTACGTGTTATGACACAGGACACAGAGAACGACCTCCGCAAGCTACAGCACAGTCAAGAGTACTTCATCATTCAATACCAGGAGAGCTTGAGGATACAGGGTATGAACATATGCTGTCCTAATCCTCACATCCAGTATCATTTACATATCATATACAGTGAGCTTATTCCATATTAAACTACAACACCGCTGAATGCTTGATTCAGAAACTTTTTAGAGTAAATTTGAAATAATATATGACATACCTTTGATGTCTACAAATAAAGAGAACATTTCTGTATCTATCTATCTATCTATATATATATATATATATATATATATATATACATACAGGGTTTGAAATTAACACCCGCCAACCCGCCAAATGCGGGTAAAAATCAGCTGTGGCGGGTAACGCTGTCAAATCACTAGCCAAGTTGGCGGGTTAATTTTTGTAAATTATGTTCACTCATTAATTTCTTGGGGAAGTTTATGCAGGCCAAATCTGCGCAGGTTTAGCGCAAATACTGAGCTCGTGAGACATCATGACATTATCGAGTATATTGCAAAAGCTAAACAAAACACACCTACAGAGGCGTGCATAAGCGACGTGATGAAGTCTGGTTAGACCAACACAGGATTTAGTGCGCGTGCGCATTTAGAGTGGTTCTTTCACTGCATGATTCAGTCTATTAATATGCATTAAGAATGATCACATAATTCAAGATAAGGAGGCAGAAAATGTATATATTTATATCAATTCATATAGTTAATCAGTATCACACGAATAGTGACGTTTTTTCTTAAAAAATCAGCATGGTTACAAATGTGATATTTATTTTATACAACAGTTCAATAAACAATAAGTTAATATCAAGAGACTTACGTTTTAGACACCATATTGGCTATTTTTGCGCAATTTATGTGCTATTTCGCCAACAAAAAACATTCCAAACACAACCACAGTACTGTTTTGCATCTCTGAGCAACATGACGTTGTTTTGTTTCTGAATGAATCAAACGTTTAAATGATTCGGTTCAATCGCAATGACTGACTTAACAGTAACTTGCTGCCACCTATTGGTGGTTTTAATTTCACATTTAAAGTATCTTTTCATTTTTTTAATAATTTCAAATATCAGTATTTGATATTTCATGTTTTAAATATCAAAACATTATTTATGCATTTGTAACTGCAGTTTAAATCATTCCATGTCCCTCTAAGCTGGATTAACATGTGTAAATGCATCTAAATGCCACTTCGTATGCAACTTCTGCAAAGATTAATTTTATTGATACTGATTTAATTTGTTTAGTAACAGCCTAAATGTATTATTATTATAACTGACTGATTAAATGTACGAATTTGACTCAAAAGATGATGTACACTTTTAGAAAAAAATGACTTTATAAAGGTAAGAATGCCCATAAAAGTTAAAAATCAATTTAAACTTATTGGAAAAGATTAATTTCTGTCACTGCTGTGAACTGACCCGCACACAGAATATAAAGAATATCAAAAACTTTAGGTGTCAGCTGTCCATGGTAGTCCTTAAGATATCAGCACAATAACACACTCGGCAAAATATCGTCTAATTATCTTTATTGATAAAATCACAGAAATTGTAGTGTAGACAGCCTCAAACTGTTGGTGTATTTCTGTCTCTTTTTTTTTTTGGCTAGTAGACATTATGAATGGCCGGTAACTTAAAAATGTTATAGCCAAATTGGCTGGTGAGTGAAAAAGTTCATTTCAATCCCTGTATACATATATATACACTGAACAAAATTTTAAACGCAACACTTTTGTTTTTGCCCCCATTTTTCATGAGCTGAACTCAAGATCTAATGGTGCGTTCACACCAGACGCGAAGCGAATATGCGCATCGCGCCACTCGCTCTAGATTACTCGCGGGATGTTTTTCGTGTCACTCGCGCGAATAAAAACAATCAACAACAATCAACTACAATCACTGTTTTGTACCTCGCTGTTTTGTACCTATTTTCAAAAAGTCCCAAATACAATGGAAAGCCAAATGCCGACGTGTCTGGGTTCACAGCACCATCCAGAGGAGGATGAATAACGTTAGGATCCTGTATTAATGTGTGTGTTACATTTTACTACTGTGTATATATACACTGATATTACTATTATTTGTATTATTGATAGCAGCATCTCTGTAGCCATGCTAATAAAATACAACTACCACTACAATTGATTTTAATTGTTTTCTATGCCCCAGGCTTATATAATAACAGACGTCTGCAATAATGCTCTCTGCTATTGTCTGATTCAACTGGACATGCCAATAAGCTTAGCTGATTGGCTTGCGCGAGAACGCGTTAGGCAAATTTTCCGCTCAAGCGAAAGACGCGATTGAAGCGAATATCTCGCGTTCGCGGCAAACGCGTCGCGCATTCCGCGTCTATTAGCGTCTTTGCATTGACTTTGTATGTAATCTACTCGCACAAATAATTAAATTCGCGTTTGGTGTGAACACACCATAAGACTTTTTCTATGTGCACAAAAGGCCTATTTCTCTCAAATATTGTTCACAAATCTGTCTAAATCTGTGTTAGTGAGCACTTCTCCTTTGCTCCATCCACCGGCATATCAAGATGCTGATTAGACAGCATGATTATTGCACAGGTGTGCCTTAGGCTTGCCACAATAAAAGAATAAAAGGAAATGTGCAGTTTTACTGTATTGGGGGGTCCGGGGGGGTCCGAAAACCAGTCAGTATCTGGTGTGACCACCATTTGCCTCACGCAGTGCAAAACATCTCCTTCGCATAGAGTTGATCAGGTTGTTGATTGTGGCCTGTGGAATGTTGGTCCACTCCTCTTCAATGGCTGTGCGAAGTTGCTGGATATTGGCAGGAACTGGAACACGCTGTCCTATACGCCGATCCAGAGCATCCCAAACATGCTCAATGAGTGACATGTCCGGTGAGTATGCTGGCCATGCAAGAACTTACATAGAAAATGTCTTAGATCTTTGAGTTCAGCTCATGACAAATGGGGGCAAAAACAAAAGTGTTGCGTTCATAATTTTGTTCAGTGTGTATGTGTATATATATATATATATATATATATATATATATATACACATACACACTGAACAAAATTATGAACGCAACACTTTTGTTTTTGCCCC